CGGGCGTTCGGGATAACGAGGATGATTTCCGCGAAGGAAGCCCGGAAGCTTTGCCCGGAGATTGTTCTACAGCATGTTGCGACTTTCCGAGAAGGCGAAGGCGGGAAATGGGCGTACAGGGAGGATTCCTTCAACCGTATTAACACGGATAAAGTGTGCTTGGATCCGTATCGGGCGGAATCGCGCAAGATCCTGAAAACGATGAAGGAGGAATTGTCGAGGTGGTATACGGACTTGGTTGATGAGGAACGGGGGCTGGGTCCACACGCTCAAATACAACAAGCTAGTGTTGAGAAAGCTAGCGTCGACGAAGTTTTCATTGATTTGTCCCCGCTGGTTTATGGTGTTCTGCTTCAACGGTATCCGGAACTACGGAATGGGCCGGATGGCGATGATCGTGTCGCATCGTTACCTCGTCCCCCTACAACGGCACTGGAATGGAACCAGGGCGATTGTCTAGTGGACCTAGACGAGAACGAGACCGAGGTGGATGATCCTGATTGGGATGATGTGGCGATGCTTATTGGGTCAGAGATTGTCCGAGCGGTTCGCACGGCAGTCTGGGATAAGCTGAGTTATACGTGCTCCGCAGGCATAGCGAAAAACAAGATGATGGCAAAGTTGGGGAGCTCTAGCAACAAACCCAACAAACAGACCATTGTACGCAATCGTGCTATCCAGAACTTTCTTGGGGGCTTTAAGTTTACCAAGATTCGAATGCTTGGGGGTAAGCTGGGTGATCAGGTCACGGCCCTGTTTGGGACGGAACAAGTTAGCGATCTTTTACAGGTTACGCTGGAGCAGTTCCGGGCCAAGCTGGATGATGATACTGCTAGTTGGCTCTATGGAATCATCCGCGGCGAGGATAAGAGTGAAGTCAACCCCAGGACGCAAATAAAGTCTATGCTCTCTGCCAAGTCATTCAGACCGAATATCAACTCTATCGAGCAGGCAGAAAGGTGGTTGCGGATCTTTGCCGCTGACATCTACGGCCGTCTCATGGAAGATGGTGTACTTGAGCACCGACGCCGTCCAAAAACCCTCGCCTTGCACCATAGGCAAGGTGCACAACTTCGCTCTCGCCAATGCCCTATTCCTGGGTCAACACCGATCGACGATACATTACTGTTCGATCTTGGGAGGACACTGCTTCGACAGGTCATCGGTGACGGACGCGCCTGGCCTTGTGCAAACTTGTCAATGAGTGTCGGTGGATTTGAGGACGGGGTTAGCAACAATAAAGCAATAGATTCGTTTCTACTCCGAGGAGACCAGGCCAAAAGTATCGGCCACCTTGCGAAGGACCGCATTACGGATGACTTGCCGGAAATGTTACAACCGAGCGAGAAACGGAGGAAAGTTGAAGACGATGGTATAAAACGCTTCTTCAACCACTCTCCTGGGGCCGCCACGGAGCCTCAGCCAAGTGAGGCTTTATTGGAGACACCAGCGACTAGCTTGGAAGGGACCAGAGAGAACATACTTCTATCTGAGACCTCGTGTACTCCCGAAATAGCAGAAGTTGCACCGGGATTCTATACTTGTAGACGTTGCGAAAAACCGCTACCAGAAGCTGAAAGGGATGAACACGATGATTGGCATTTTGCCAAGGAGCTGGAAAGACAAGAAAGACAAGATGTCATGAGATCCCAGCAAACAGCACTCCCGTCTAGTAATACGGGATCTTCCAGCGCCCGTGGCAGGCCAGGTCGTAACAGCCGGGGCAAGCCTGAGAAAGGGCAGACACGTCTCGCTTTTGGATAGCATTGCTGGGCTTGAAATCCTCGCGATAATCAAATATTCATGCCGACCGGGACAAAGGAACGACTTTACTCATTCAAGCAAACCGAATAGAGGAGACGTTCCTTGATTATATGCGTTCGACGTATCAGGAGAAACGAAGAGTCCTCCCCTTCTTTCCTCTCGCTCTTGCTGATCTCAACGGACCTCATCGTGCAATATTGCGTTGTAAGCTATGTGAAATGCATTAAGAAAGCCGCTGCGTCGTTCATAAGCCATTGACGTCGTAAATTCCCGCAACCAATCAAGGGAACAGCCAGCAGATTCCGATCGATAAAGAATATTGGGCTAAGTTGTAATCTCAACCATGGTTCGAGTGTCAATTTTAACTTAAGGGAGAATTAAAGCCAAAGGACTTAATATAGTTACCGGATTTAAGCTCTTTCGAACTTGACGAGCTAGTAGGCGATCATAACGGGTTGGAAATGGAGATGCATAGCAATCCAAATGAGCGACAAGAGAAGCTATTGGTGGTTTGGCACTTTTTAGGTCCCGTTGTGCAGCGGTGACATCAGCAAACTCAGCCGCGGGGTCGAATTTCAATTCCAACAGTCAACAGTCAGTCATTATGATTTGATGTTTCAGCGATTTCGCTCTGCCTACCATAACAGTGCACGTGTCTCACTGATTAATTTCCTACACCCGATATCAGGGCATCTCCATTCCTGAGAATCAGCAGAGGATTCCGAGTGTCTACAATCACTTATTCACTCTGCACGAGGTGCCCCTCACAGGACGGGTGTAGCATAAATGTCCAATGAAGGCACCCGATAAAGACCAATTAGCTCCACTTCGAATTTTTCGTTACATTCAACTTGGGTAATTCGTCTTGTTTGCTATTTAATTATTGGGTTACACCATGCCCCGGCGATATCGTGCCCGTGAGTATGATGAGGACATGTACGAAGTTGAACGGGACAACTATCATCGTAAACACCAACACCGGCCGCGGGGTGGACGCCATTACAAGGAGGAAGCAACCTATGAACAACCTCGAGCCCCTAGTCCCCCACCAGTTGAGGAGTTTGAACGTCTTCGCATTCGAGACAATGCAGGGCCTGAATTGATCCGCGAACCCCCTCGTGAGACATCGAGAGAGCTCCGGAAGGTTAGGGATGACACTTTCAAACGTCGTCGACCACATCGAAGAGAAGTAGTGGAGGAAGAAGAAGAAGGATATATCTCCCAAGATGAAGAGTTGACAAGGGGAATGACAGGAAGCGAGTCCGAAGACGAAGTTCCTATCATCCCGAAGAGACGTTCCGCGGCGCGCCGCGGCGACGTACGCGATGAGCTCTCGAAACCCAGAAGCCGTCGTTCGGAATATGAACGGGAGTTGCCACCCAGTATTGATGAAATGAAGCATGAGTACAGAAAAACCCGCAGTGGCCCTCATTATCATGCACCGCCACGGCTACGACCTGAGTCGGGCCCTAACACAGACGTAGAGGAGGATGATTATGAAGAGGAGGAAAATGATATTCTAGTCCGGCGAAGCAGGCAGCGAAGACCTCCAAGAAAATTTGGTCTCCCTGAAGACGACGACAGCACGTCATCCCCCGAATCAGACGACTCTGCGGATGTTTCTCTCGCTCGTGCGCCTATACACCGAAGCCCACCGAAGCGACACGTACATGATCCAGAGGGTGAGCTTGCTACCTGACATAGATGGTAGCATGATGATTGACCCACTGTTAGGTTATGATATCCCCCGTCCACCTCGGCCCCCACGTGCACCTAGCCCTGAAGTCAGTTTTGAGAAGCCCAAAAGGGAGAATATGAGACCGGCCTCTCATGAAGAGATACTCGTCGAAGAACGCGGTGGGCCAGAGCTTTCAAATATAGTCCGCGGCCCACCTCCAGAGCCCTTTTTTCGGCAAAGGCAGGAAGAATATCCGATTCCCCAGTCTCGCCCAAGGTCTATCGAACGTGAGAAGGAAATATCCATTCATGAAGTAATGCCAGGTGGTGTGCAAATGTTCGATGAGCACGATGTAGTAGAAGAGGTCCATGGCAGATCTCGTGAGCTCGAGAGGTCTATACGGGAAACTACACCTAAAATGACCGGAGACGATTGGGCGATTATCTCTGCAGCCCCAAAGACAGAGCGGGAGGCTTTGCTAGATGAAATTGCTCATGGGCCCAGAGAGCCAGCTCTTCAAGATAAAAAGCCCAAGTTTACTGTAAGTGAGGAAAGGCATTCGGAAAGTGACCCGGATTTTGCACGGGGCAAAGTAGGGCGGCGATACATTGGTATGAAAGATCAACGAAATGGGCTCTGGACGGAGATCACCAAGGACCTTGTAGTGAAGGAAGCAATTGAACGATCTGGGTATGAATACGAAGAGACAGTATCTTCCTATTACGTGTTTTCATACCTTCAATTCGTGAGTGAATATCTCTTCCACTAGGAAGCTTACCATTAACACCTTCGCACAGGAAGATGTTTCTGCTCTAGTTGACTTGTCGGAAGATATTCGCCGCGCACGTCGTCGACGGATCCAAGAGATTCACCGTGAAAGGAGCTCTATGCCTCCCCCAGCGCCTCCAGCACCACCAGCGGCAATGCCAGGGGAGCCGCCATTGATGTTGGACAGGCCGATGTCTCCCCCATTCCGGCCTCGTGAAGAGCGACGGATGAAGCAACGCCAGCTGGTTGATGATAGACGTGGGAGACCTCGCTCAGGAAGGTGGTAATATACTTAACTGATCCCTCGCCAAGCGTTGTTTTAAATGGCAAGCCTTGCCTTGAATTTCTTTGATCTACGGATATCATGGTTGAATGATAAGACGGATAGTATTCTAAAATTTGCTGGAACAAGTATTTAGATATTGTTACTCTGCCTTCGAGGAGACCCACGAGACATGATTTATGAAGAATATGAGGTCTTGAGCTCATATCACATTTCTCTGAGCAGGACGATATTTGTTCGAGCTAGCAGACCCATCTCAACGTAGATCATATAATGTGAGCCTTTGTAGAGCACAGTAGCCCAGTACCATCATATTCCTATAATTGTGGTATTAAGTATGGGTCGATCAGACACGTGCATGAAATGATTACTGATCGATCTAGACTGCCAAGCCCTCGGTCGCCTTTGGTGAAAGTTTCAACCCAAGCGCGTCAATCGACGGTGAACCAACCAACCAGAGCCGTTAATTACAGACAGACAGAAGCTTTCAAGGGGCTATCGACAGCAATGTCCACTGTTGATGGAGAGTCATCGAGAAATAGAGGCCGGCCTCGTAGAGTGCCGACCGCGGCGCCGGACACGGTGAGCGGTATAGTTCTCGCTTCTTGGCCCCTTTCTCATAGTTGGCCTAGGTACGACGGACGCAGCTTCGAGAAGCCCAACGGGCCTATCGATCCCGGCAACAGTCGCTACTTACCTCGTTAAAGTCTCGCGTTGCTAGACTAGAAGATGCATTCGGACAACTTGCTCAGATTATGGACTCGTTCGATGCTCAAGTTGTCAAACCAGGTGCTCAGATGTCCCATGCTCAGCTGCTCCAAGCTGTGAAGCTTTTCCAGAATGAGATTTGCTTCCAATTAGAAAGGACCGACTCACATGTGCTGCCCAATGAAGGCAAAAAACGCAGTTCAACTACCCAAAGTCAGCAACCCCAGCAAAGGTCCAGCGACAGACCGTCACCGTCGGGCCCTTGCCAGGTCGATAAGGAAACCATTAGTGTCCCGACGTGGACGAAAGAAAAGGCATTCTCATCTGATTTTTGGCGTCGCTTTTTGGGCTCATCCAACGGCTTTTTGCCACCGCTTGCATCTACGGCTCATGAACCCAACGCTAGCATTCGTGTAACATCTTCTATAGACCGTGAGGATCACGCCATAGAATACACGACTTCAACATTCACAGAGAGACTTTATCGTACCTGCGCAGAAAACGGATATCGGCTCGTGTGCAATGACACAGTGACAGACGAGGAGTTGCAGCCGCAATTTGGGCTGGTATTGAAAACCGTCCCACGAGAGCAAATCCGACTCTATTTTGAGAAGGTACTCGGGATGGAACCATGCAATCCGGTCCATGACCGTCGGTTTCCCTTTATTTGTCTCGGTGGAGCGGGGATGCATTTTCCCTCTGCGGGACAGGACTCTCGTTCCCAGAACCTTCATCGCTTCCGTGAGACAAATGGCGTGTTGGAGATTCCCAGCGATGAAGAATGGTTTGATATCAGGGATATGGAAGGGTTCTTGATGGAACAGGGCATCAAAACTGAAGAGAGCTACCGAGTCTCTGTCACTTCTTCATCTCGTATGAATAGCAATCTAAGCGCGAGACCTGGATTGTTACTCCCAAGTGGCGACATCGTTGGGTCATCTGATTTTAATATCAATAGCCAGACTACCTCCAATAATGTGGTTAGGGTTCTGGATGAGGCTACCGTTATTGATAGTATGTTGACCTGCCAATAAAGCTCAAGTGGACTTACTAATTTCTCTCTAGAACTAAGTCGGCTCTGTATCTGTCTTGGTTGCGTTGCTGGGTTTCGTCGCTCTGACGTTGAGACCCTTGTATGGCAGCATGCTAGTTGGAAACCAATCTAATTTGGGGACCACGCAAATGAATGCTGAACAAGCGTTCCACGTCCAGAACCAATGGCGTAAACCACGACACTTCACTCTATGTATTGCCAATCATCCTATGATGAAAGGACAGCGAAATAAGCAGGTCGATGGTAGGCGATAGGGCCAACTACTATCTCTTGTTGACATCTGTCCACCAGAAACATCCCCACTACTTTTTTATATTTGGTATCCATTTTTATGACGGAATAGCGAGAAAGGCGAGGTTTTTAACTGCGCCGAAGGAATTTCTTTTGACTCATTTTCTGTTCTCGCCAGAAACAGATGGCCGCCGCGGTTGCACCGGGTCCAATTCCTGCCAATCCCGCAAGAAGCCCGGCAAACGCTGGCAATGGGGAGACATTGGAAATCCCGACTCGGTAAAGATCCCAGGCGCTAACCCAGCACCACAGAAAGGTCGGCGTAGTCACAAGGAGGAAGTCATTTTGAAGAAATGTGGAAGCTCCCTCCGCCAAAGTTGCGACGGGTGCAGATGAGTTCACTGGGAAGAGGCGAGTGAGGGAGAGATTTTCCGAAAGCAGGCAGCTGAAGAACACGCAGATGGGGCGAATCAAAATTGGTCCTTTCATCTGCCGACGGAGAATCAGGTTTGAGCTGTCTACCTCGGTCTACGTACTCGATGGCTCTAGACAAGACTTCAGTCATCAAAACGGCAAATACTGGCGCTGGTTGCCACACAGCTACCACTGACTGACGCGTCTGTGCATCTCCAATTTGAAAAAAAGAAGCCTTGTCGGGTAAGCCTCGAGAACTATGGAGTCCATGCCATTCTTCTCTGGCATTGAGGACAAGGATAAACTTGCAATGCTGCCACCTGCGATGATGACCTTGAAGGGCTTGGAAGTAATGGTGAGGGCTCCAATGTTAATGTAAGACCACGATTGCAGCGCTCTCTTGAAAGAAATCAGGACCTTGTATTTGTAACCTTACGAAGGATTTATATAGGTTAACATGAGCCATGATCACTACCTGCCCCTCCAAGACTCTACTATCTCCTGTCCAAGGTTCCCGCAGCATCAAATAGTCGTGATAGAATCATCCGTTCTTAGAGAATCGGAACAATTATCATATTGATCAATAATCAGCCCAATCAGGTTATCATACTCCCAGTGGGTCGGACAAACCAAATGTCCCGCGACCATAAATAACCCTAACTAATCAGCCATCGCCTCGGTTGACACCATCTATATAGTACCAAGCAAGCTGGCAATTTGCGAGAGGTCTTGCCAATATTGGTCCCTGATAACAGAAATCCCTTCCAAGACTGACCAGCCCTCGAAGATTGATATAATCCATTCAGCCGGGACTTCACGAACAGAGTGTCATGTAGTTTTCAAATCCGATACTCTGGTCATGCAGGTTTGGTTATTGATTTACCTGCCTGCCTACTCAACCTTACTATCAAATCACGCACGCCTTCAAACCATCGTTACCAGTCTGGCTTCCAATAAATCAAAGCTACCCTCGTCTGGAAGACCTTCTCAAAAGGTATGTCTAGCTAGCAGCTACTTCCTGAACTCTTCCCACCTGTCATTAACTCCCATCTGCTAGGGGAAATCCTCTTGGGCATTAGATAGCGTTTTAGAAAGAAAATACGATATATCCCACTACTGAGATTAAACTATCACATACGACCACAGGGTG